GACGTTGTATAGCTGATGTTATTATTTGAGAATTAGCATCTGTGTGTGTTCTTCATCACTAGTTTCGGATTCAACATAAGAGACCTGAAACTTTTTATTAGCAGCTATTCTAGCTGAACGTTTGAGAGCCTGGTTATTTTGTGCTATTGGTACATTTGAAGGTGCACCATGCTCTTTCAGGCGTTGGCATGCCTGTCTCACTGTCTTTCCTATATATGTAGCTGAACAATCAGTGCAATTGACTTCATAGATTAAATTCGATTGAAGATCTTTTGGTGTGTCATCTTTATTCTTGAAGAATTGTCGTACAGCCTGTGGTGGTCTTGGAATGGCTATGACTTGTGTATTAGGTTTTATTTTCATAGCAACTTTTGTGATTTCTCTGGTGAATTGCTGTGTAGCTTTTCCCACGAATGGAACATTAATCGTTATTCTATCACAACTTATGTCTTCGTTAGAGTCATCTCCTTTACTAGGTTTATTATCAATATTATTGGTTGTCATTTTCTTTTGTTTTTCCATGTATCTGTTTAATGTATGTCTTATTTGACATTCTACAAAATTCAATGGATAGCCATTTTTTTGTGCAATATCTCGTATGAATTCGAATTCGCTATGCATTATTGTGTATGACGAAGAAGGGTGTGGGTGTGGGTAGTGGGCGTGGGTGTGGGTGTGGGTGGGTGTGGGTGGGTGTGGGTGTGGCCGTGGGTGTGGGTGTGGGTGTGGGTGTGTGGGTGTGGGTGTGGGTGTAGGTGTGGCCGTGGGTGTGGGTGTGGATGTGGGTGTGGGGTGGGTGTGGGTGTGTGGGTGAGTGTGGGGTGTGGGTGTGGGTGTGTGGGTGTGGATGTGGGTGTGGGTGGGTGTGAGTGTGTGGATGTGGGTGTGGGTGGGAGTGGGTGTGGGTGTGTGGGTGTGGATGTGGGTGTGGGTGGGTGTGGGTGTGGTTGTGGGTGTGGGTGTGGGTATGGTTATAGGCGTGGGTTTGAGTGCGGGTATGAGTATAGGCGTAAGTGTGCATGTGGGTGTGTTTAAGTTTGGGTG